TGCCTCTTCGTCACGTCTGTCTTCGTGCAGAGCTGCCGTGTTTCTGCTATTTTGTACAGAACTGTTTTTGGGGGCAAATAAAATGCAGGTATGGATTAAAACTTAAATACTCGCACTTGATGCAGTGTTTTGACTTTGTTGCCACTCGTACCCACAATGCAATGCGTGACAGTCACGTGGTCTGTCGATCTCTATAGCCTCCATCGTCTGCTCCATCACTGCTGATTACATCATTAATATTTAATGTTCCAGAAACAGTTATTACTGTGTCGGCCTGTGCAGCAGCTGAGAGGCGCACAGCTCGCTGATGATACAACCACAGTGTGTTTAAAGAGCACTGTGACAGGTTTGTCAACATACAGTGAATGCAGCGTCAGCACTTCCTGAAGCAGGAATTTTCAGAGTAAAAGTCCACTGTGTGCTCCAGCACCACTCACAGGAACACCCCTCGTCTCCTCAGTTTAAATCTGAGCTGAAAGAAAAAACTGAACCTACACTGAAGTGAAAAATAAAAAAAGATTCTTACTTGGTATCGTCAGCGACTTCAACCTCTGGGTTGGCTGTGATTGGTGCATTGGAGTGTCCTGCAGTGGGGTCATCCGTATTCAGCTCACCGTTGGTTGAGCTCATCACCTGAAGGACAGAAGAAGCGTGATGAGCGCAGACGTCACACTTCTGACGTTTGGTGGAACAAAGAAATCAAAGAAGTCGACATTATGTCCACATTAAGTCAGACCAGCTGTTGGTGTTTGAAAGCTTGTTCCCACCCAGGTGCAGTTTGGGCTCAATTTGGGTTTTTTCATTAAACACTAAAACTCTTCATCAGCACAGACGAGAGGATGGATTTGAGCTTGATGTGGACACAACAGCTCTGCACACACGTCTTATTGCCATGCATCACACACAGCACGTCTGCTTGACGGCTCGATCTGTTTCACGTGGTTTCTGCAGCTGATGAAAATGTTTGCTTTTTCCTTTCTTTGAAATCTTCCTCAAACCTCTCACACGTCAGAGAGAAGTGACGAGAACGAGGCCGAGCGTCACCAGTTTAGCAACATGACAGCAGACTCGTTTATACTAGGGATGCAACAATACCAATTTTTTCAAACCGATACGATACAGATACTTGGATCTGAGTACAAAAACCGATACTTCTACCACACACACACACACACACACACACACACAAATGCAATGAATTGGAAGACAGGTTTTATTTTATTCTCTGC